CATCATTTCTATCACCAAGGCCATGTTTTCCAACTACCAATCCTTCCTCTTGACTCCCAACCTTTACATTCCAATCACCACTAATGATCAATACATTTTGACTGCATGTTTGATCAATTTCAGATTGAAGAAGTTGGTAGAATTCTTTTATTTCATCCTCATTGGCTTTAGTGGTTGGTGCATAAATTTGAATAATGGTGGTATTAACTGGTCTTCCCTGTTTTATTATGTACCGTGGAGTACATTCTGACTCACAGCCACCCTGTACAGGGTTTCTGAGGCTGTAAATCTTTACAGGCTCAGAAAGCCTTGTCTTTCTCCAGCGAAACAGCTGGTAGTTTTGAACTGCTGTCCCTGAGGTTCACAGCCGGATTCGTAACCACTACACTACCAGAGCTCCATGTATGTGCATGGATATTATCCTATCACAGACAGCATTGTATCTCATGACTGATCTGGATGTTTCTTTTGACAATGAATGTAACACCATTCCTCTTCAATTTGTCATTTCCAGCATAGTAAACCATATGATCGTCAAGATTCAAAATGGCCAACACCAGTCCATTTCAGCTCACTAATGCCTAAGATATCAATGTTTATGCATTCCATTTCATTTATAACAATTTCTAATTTTCCTGGATTCATACTTCATACATTCCATGTTCCGCTTATTAACCACCTGCAATATACAGATGATACAGCCTTGCTTGCTGAAAGTGAAGAAGACTTAAAATACTTACTAATGAAGATCAAAGAGCACAGCTCTAGGTATGGATTGCATCTCAATGTAAAGAAAACAAAAATCCTCACCACTGGACAACATTCTTATCAACGGAGAAAAGATTGAAGTTGTCAAGGACTTTATTCTTCGTGGATCATCAGCACTCATGGAAGCAGCAGTCAAGAAATCAGACGGATGTATTGCATAAGGCAAATAAGCTGCACAAGACCTTTTTCAAGTGTTGAAGAGCAAAGACAAAGATGTCAGCTTGAAGACTAAGGTGCGCCTGACCCAAGTCATGGTATTTTCAATAACCTCATATGCATGTGAAAGCTGTACAGTGAATAAGGAAGACCGCAGAAGAATTGATGCTTTTGAGTTATGATGTTGGAGAATATTAAAAGTACCATGGGCTGCCAAATGAACCAACAAATCTGTGTTGGAAGAAGTGCAGCCAGAGTGTTCCTTGGAGGCCAGAATGGCCAAACTTTGTCTCTCATACTTAGGACACATTGTGAGGAGGGACCAGTCGCTTGAGAAGGATATCATGTTTGGTAAGGTGGAGGGTCAGAAAAAAAGAAGATGACCCCCCCAGCGAGATCAATTGGTGGAGTGGCAGCATCAATGGGCTCAAAAGCGTGGCAACAATAGTGAGGTTGTCCCAGGATCAGGCAGTGTTTCATTCTGCTGTGCACAAAGTCACTATGAGTCGGTACTGACTCGATAGCACCTAATAACAATGAGCTGGAACCTACTCAAAGGCACTTAATGATAACCATATGTAATAAGGCCATCCTGGTGTGGCACTGTGGGTTAATGCGCCAGACTGCAAAGTCATTTGAACTTCAAGGTTGGCGGTTCAAGCTCACCAGCTGCTCCCTGGGAATCCTACACAGGGTCGCTATGGGTCGGAATTGACTCAACGGCACTTAACAACAACAAAGCAGTAACATTCACAACTTGATAACTTCGATTCTAGCTAATCATCTATAAGCTTAATTCAAATATTAACCCAGGGCTACCAAGTCTATTAAGACTCATAGCGACCTTGTATACAGTTTCCAATACTGTAAATCTTCATAGAAGCAGACAGTCTCATCTTTCTCCTAAGGAGCAGTTGGTGGGGTTGAACTGCTGACCTTGCAGCTGGCAGTTGAAGTGTTTATCTTACAGTACCATCAGGGCTTCTTACTGGAATGCCTTTCATTAACCTTCACACTAGCACTCCACAAGTCTGCACATACTGTTTTGCCGTATTTTATAAAGGTAAATGTCTTCTTTGATCAGGCGTACTTAAAGAATTGAAAACTGAAAAGCAAACCATTTTTATGGTTCATTTTCTCCAAAAAATTTAACAATACTAGTAGGTGTGAGTTGTGTATTTATTGCACCAGGTTACAAATGGAAACAAATCATGAGTCTTACAATTTGTTGGAAGCAAGACAGTTTACTGACATTTTGAAGAAATAACAACAATGAAAAAAGAAGTCATTTAAAAAGATGGTAGCTAGACAAAGGCACAGCATTCCACAATCTGCTTCATACTCTGTGCCCAGCAAATCTTTTCAGAGAGGAGAGAAGTTATGCAAAATAAGGCTTACATTCAAAACTACATTATAACACCACTGATATTATTCTGTCTTATAACAAAGGTTCTATAAAATCTTTCCAGGGTAGAAAGTGCAACACTAAACTTGTATAACAAATGAAAGCAAAAATAGCACTAAAGACCCAACTATCCTTCTAAAATCTCTCATAGTACAAATACAGTATTTGAAACTCATTGAGAAGTATTTGATTGAAGCATGAACTATCAAGTTATTTTGCAAGAACGCTTCATCCAAAGCTTGAGAGCTAGAGCAGAAAGAGGCTTGTAGTTGTAACTAAGTAGATGAAATATGTAATTTTTCACTAGGTCATAATAATTCCCTTCAGGAGAAAGTACTTTATCTTTAAACTAATTATTCCCGTTTTTGTTATATGGCTCATGCTTCTAAACTGCAGGTGTCTCAAACTTGCATGATAATTGAATTCTGTAATGTGGATAATGGTAGGCTGTCAAGGTCTAGCCCCAGTGGAGAGGTAATCTAAGCTGCTTTTATAAGAAGCCTGTGGCCGAGCTGCCTAACAGTCTGTTTTACATTAACCTTTTAAAATTCTGTATTTGATCATGTATTATCCCGTTCTCAAATAAAGTCACTCCAGAGGAGTTGTTTCTAAACGAAGCTTTCAAACTAGTCTTTTCAGTCATTTAAAAAAATCTTCATATAAAAGTCCACGTCTTTAAGACATAAGAACAAACTTTTTTTTTCCTTTAAAAAAATCTAATTTTTAATCCGAAATAAATTACAACTTGCTGAAATACCTTTTTCAACAGCTCAGTGCTTAGTTCAGATACACGAAACTATGTATTTCACATGTCTTCAGAAATCAGGTACACATATCTTCAGAAATTGGAAACAGAATCGCTAACCGTAAAATGACATGATGATGTAACCCTGGCTCAGGGAACAGATCACATATTTAAGTCTTCAAGAATAAAAAAAACTGACATGAATCATCCAATATGCACAGTCCTATATTATGTACATATTAACAATCTACTCAAAAAAAAAAAAAAAAAAAAAAAATTTCATAAAACTGTTTCAGAACTCAGAGCATAAAAATGTCAAAAGACAAAAAACACATAATGTACAATTTGGCAATGTGTAACTTATAATAAGAAAAAACTTATCTACAAATAGAATATAACAAAAAGGAAGTATGATTTAATAAGTGATTTCAGGTCCATAACTCCTCAGTTCTTCCAAATTTGTAGATCAGAGTGCTAGAGAAATAGAAAAATGAATCATGAGAAAAAAAACAGGTGGAACAAGCAACACATATTTTTTTTGGGGGGGGGGGGAGGTACCTCACTGATGTCTTTGTAGCAATTTCTAAAATTAAAGATCGTGCTATTGGTCTGAATTCACAATATTTTAAAATCAGTTTGTCAACCTAGACAATTCAGCTTAGCTATTCTTCCCTAAAGCCTGAGAAGTTATTACACAGCAACCCTGTAATGAAAAGGAATGATTCTCACAATGGCAGACTTAAGGGCCATTTTGCATCTCTAGGTTCTGTCACATCTAAGTTACAATAACTGAAGCATTCTAAAGCATTCAACAAATCATTCATGTATACTGTGAGAGTGAAATGTAATGATCTGACCTAGCTAGAGAGGTCAAGAAAAAATTTCCTAAAGAAACAAATGACTGAGCCAAGATCTAAGAGTGAAGTTACCTTAGCAAAGTATGGGTTGGGGGAATGGAGAGATAGGACACTCTGGGGCCCTGAGTTGCGGTATAGGCATATTGGATGTTTTGGATTTGAATTGCTAACCATCCAAGGGAAGGTGCTAAGTAGGAGTACATGGTGACTCATTGGCATACAGTCAATGAGTGATGTTCTAACCTCACCTAAAGAGAAAAATCAGAAGGCCTAGAATTAGCCTTAAGACTTAAAAGTTAGAGGCCAGGGTGTGGAGGATAAGCCTGTAAAGGAAAGAGAAGAGGAGAGGCACATTGTACCCCAGTGTAGTTGTTGTTGTTAGGTGCCAGGTCAAAGGAAGCTCACAAGTTGGCCTAATAACCAGCTAGCCTCTGATGTTCTTTTCTTTTTTTTAATTAATAAATGTATCTGACAGCAGTCCAGATTCAAATGCCAGTGGTGGTGGTGAGCCACTAAGTTGGTTCCAAGTCACAGCAATGCTGTATAGGGTTTCCGAGAGCAGCTGGTGGGTTTGAACTGCAAACTGCAGTTCAGTGTTTATACTACAAAGCCATACCAGGGTTCATTTACTAGCTGGGGTTCCTTAAATAAGATCTGAGCCTCATTTCCTCATCTATAAAAATGAGAACTGTACCTAATTTATATATTTAAGATAAATAAATGGGAAATAAAAGGGATCTATAGAAAGCAGGTCCTCTATTTAATGGACCTAGGGATGCTCTTCTGTACGAGTGGAATTCTTGCCTTTTAAAAACGTGAAAATTGTTGTCATGACTAATTGCAAAAAGGGGTGAGTGGTCAATCTTACAGTGCTGGAGCAGAGGACTCTGGGACCATCAAGGGAGAATTGCTGGAGCAGAGTGTGGGATCCTACCCAGAGAAGCGGCAATGCCAGAGATGGAGGCAGAGATGATGACATGGAGAGACAGAACATCTGAAGACTCTAAACTCATGGAGGGAGAAGGGATGTGTGCTGGCGGCCAGGGGGGCAGGCTTGCAAGGTGTGCCCTTTGGCTGTTTGAATGACTGTATAATTCCTGAGTATTTTGGT